TCTGCTGTCCAAAAACATAAAAATTAGAATATACAAAACTATAATTTTGCCTGTTGTTCTGTATGGGTGTGAAACTTGGTCTCTGACATTGAAGGAGGAACCTAGATTGAGGGTGTTTGAGAACAGGGTGTTGAGGAGAATATTTGGACCGAAGAGAGATGAGGTGACAGGAGGTTGGAGAAAACTGCATAATGAGGAGCTTCATAACCTGTACTCTTCTCCAAGTATAATTAGAATGATCAAATCAAAGAGGATGAGGTGGGCAGGTCATGTAGCATGAATGGGGGAGACGAGGAATGCGTATAGGAAATCCAGAAGAAAAGAGACCACTGGGAAGATCAAGGAGTAGGTGAGTGGACAATATTAGAATGGATCTTAGAGAGATAGGATGGGATGGTATGGACTGGATTGGTCTGGCTCAGGATAGGGAACAGTGGAGGGTTCTTGTGAACACGGCAATAAACCTTCGGGATCCATAAAAATGGTCGGAAATTCTTCGGTAGCTGCACAACTGGCAGCTTCTCAAGAAAGGCTCAGCTCCATGAATGAGTGTGTGAAACTCAGTTTAATGGTAGAGGTCGCATCAGTCATGGCAAAAATGAGGATTTCAGCTTTGAAGTTTACATTACATTACATTACATTTGAAATCAGGTAATTTGTGACGTCAGACTCACTGAAGTCTTAGACAGTCACTCTAATCTCTGTACATAGAGTAAAAACCTTCGCAATTGTAGGTCAGAACATCGAACTGATTAGTAGACGAAAACAGTAAAACACAAAATTACACCGCAAAATAAACATCTTCATTATGCAATGAAACAGCACATGTGTGAGGACAAACTTCTTGTCTGCTGACATCCTTAGGCTCGAATGCAAGGAAAATAACTTAAGCCTCAGAATATAATGTTCTTATATACAGCTGTAGCAATACAAAGAAGCATTACCCGGTCAGTACATGAAATTAAACGTATCTTTGAGAACAACGGTCAATTAATACTGTGGTAATACAATCTTAACATTTCAAGTTTAAGCCAACTTATATTGGATTTGTCTTAATTCAAGTAGCTAGGCATTCCTAACATCTTACGTAATGTTGTAGGAAACGTGCTCGCTTGACTGTATTGCACTACGTAAATTACTTTCACAGGACAGGTGTTCTTTTTTATCGAAACATCTTAGAACTGCGTCATTCAGTCCAGTGAAATTACAAGCGTTACCTTCAGCGGAAACTCCTTGTTATTACGAGCTGCTGGAAGACAAGGGCTCTTTTAAATTCCACGCTTTAACTTCGGGGTTTATGAAGTCGACGATGGAGGGAAGTTTTGAATTGAGTGAGAAGGGAAATGAAGCTTAATTTCAAGGTATTACACGTTAATTATATGGAAGAACTGGAAGAAAATAAGTCAAGAATTGCATTTCGATATCTCGATGTCAAAGAAGGTTACACTAGACATTACTTATTGTTCTCCTGAAGCAAGCTTTTTCATTTCCGCCGGAAGTATGTAAAGTAGCGATGCTTGATCTTATTTTCCACTTAATTTTCCAGTTCAAAGAGATAAATATAATTCAGACAAAGAAGAATATTTTATTCTTTAAACTTTACATGGTCCTACGGCTTGTGTATTAAGAGGAAAGTGGCATGTAGTATTACCGAAATTGCACGCGATTTTCCTGAGTATATTCGGACAAACATCAAGTTATTATATAGAAATATGTCACGACGGCCTGCTTACCAATTCCAACCCATTCCACTTAGCTTACGAACCTTCCTTCTCACGAACATTTATGACCATCTTTCACCTCAGTCGATGCTTCTTAATTCCTATGTTGGTAAGAGTGTTCGAAAACAACGCAGGCTTCAGTATGTGGGCCGATCTCATTGGCTGCGCAGTCTAAGGCATCAACAGCCTTCGTTCATTGGTTCGAATCTCACTCAAGGCACGGATGTCTGTGTGCATTTATTCTGTTTTTTGTTGTTCTGTGTGTAGGTAGCGGCCTTGCGACTGGCTCATCCCCCGCCCAAGGAGTCCTACCGACTGTGTATTGGATCAAGAAACTGAAAAAGCGGCCAAGGTCCAACGAAGGACTGTAGATATAGAGATGGATTAGATAGGTAGATAGATCGGCATATGGATCAATCAGTTATCCTCTTTTAAATAAATAATTTTACTGGGGAGTAAAGCGCGCCCGGCGCTTAAGGCTGACAACCTTACTGCCATCTATGAGCCGATTGTCTAGATAATTTGGGACCATCAACGTCACACAACCCTATGGGCCTTTACGGCCTGTTACAAGGATAGCTTTACTTTACTTTCCCCCCCC